AACTGTGGAAAGACGAATGCTCTGCTGTCTCTTATTGTACATCCAAACGGTTTGAGATTTGAGAATATATATCTCTACTCAATGTCTCTTAACCAACCAAAGTATCAATTCCTGGAGACACTGCTTAAACAGATTGATGGTATTGGATTCTTCACGTTCAGCGAACATGAGGCTGTAATCAAGCCTGAAGATGCTAAGCCTATCTCCCTGATGATATTTGACGATGTTGCTTGTGAAAAACAAGATCACATCAAGGCTTTTTTCTGTATGGGTCGACACAAGGATGTTGATAGCTTTTATCTCTGTCAAACTTATACACGAATACCTAAACATCTAATTAGAGATAACGCAAACTTTCTTGTGCTATTTCGTCAAGATGAAATGAATTTGAAGCATATATATGATGATCATGTCAATACAGACATGTCATACAACTCATTCAGAGATTTATGCTCAGCATGCTGGAATAAATATGGGTTTGTCGTAATAGATAAAGACAGTGAATTAAACAGTGGCAGGTATCGAAAAGGATTCGACTGCTTCATTAGTATAAATTGAGGTACTTTAAAGTGTGATCGTCATACATGTTGTAGACTTTAACCTATCAACATGAAGCCTGAAGAAATTTCAAAGCAGAAGGATATTTTACATCAGATATCTCAAGCTAGCGATGCCATCCGACGAAAGCACAGGATGTTGAAGTTAGGCAAAGATACAGCTGAAAAAGCCATGGAGGAAATGTTCAAGCCTATTGTGACACCACTTCAGAGTATAGTTGAATCTTCAAAGCTTAAAAAAGAAAATATTAAAAAAGAAGAAAAGCCGCAGGGTGAAGAAGAAGAGGTTCAAGAACAAGAGATTGAAAAATCTTTATACGCTGACCCAACCGCATACAACAGTTTAATGACGGATGATGAAAGTTTATCTAACAACACAGCATTTGCTATTGCCCCACCACCATCAACAAGTACTCCAGCTCGTAAAAATCCTCTTCTCGCTAATTATTTACAACGTTTAAGTTCAAAAAACAAAAATAATGACATGAGATATGGTGTACGCAGAAAACATGGTGAAATGTGTATGGGTGATTCAAATATTTCATTTGCAAATGATACAATAACTGTCAAAGAAAGAAGTTATCCAATAACTCCTGGGTTGTTGGAATTATTGTTTACAAAAACACCGAAAGATACACTTGTCACGCAAGATGACAAGACAAAATATTTGGAAATTATCCAGAGAACAAATACTCATAGGAAAAGTTATGATCCAAGTAAAAGTATTTACGTAGATTCAACAGACAAGTATAAGAAATATATCGCTGATTTGGTTGAAAAGCATGGTAGAGGACTGCCAAAATTTATGATTACCACCAAGACACCTATGGACTATGTATACTGGGATGATCCAAATGAACTTGTTGACCGTTTGCGGTTGCTGATGGCGTCTCAAGCTGCTGGGAATCCAAGTCACACGAATGAAATCATGTCAATTATTGAAGAGCTTAGGGAGGCTGGAGTTATATATTAAAAGCTTCTAGAAAATTATTTCATTCTCAAGTTGGCTGTCAAAGCGTTCACAACTATGAGCATCGATATATTTGGACGTCCACTGGGTAATGACAAGTCAGGTCAACGAGGACCAGCTGGTAGAGGTTTCAATGTAACTTCTGATGGAAACTATAACATTGAGAATAAAAGGCTGTGCAATCTCGGTAATCCTTCAAAAGAACACGATGCTGCGACAGTGCAATTTGTACGGAGACAGATGTCTGAACTGAATAAAAATATAGACAGTGAACAAAAAGAGATTATTTCACATTTACACTCTGAAATAGTAATACTGAAAGCTACTATAATAAATTTGCAGACGACTATTGAGGACGTTAAAGCAGTACTCTCCACTCACCAGAATAATATAAAATATCTCATTGAGAAACTCAATGGACGACAAAAAAGCAGTGATAGCTAAAGAGCTTCACAAACCAGCTCGCAGGAACTATAAACGTCGTCATGTTGACATCCGAGGTCTCGATGAGACTTGGCAAGCTGACTTGGTTGAGATGATTCCATATGCAACAGTCAATAAAGGATACAAGTATCTGTTGACAATCATAGATATATTTTCAAAGTATGCCTGGGCAGTTCCAATAAAATCTAAAAGTGGTGTTGATGTCACTAGTGCTATGAAGTCTGTACTCCAGCAAGGTCGTATACCTAAGAATCTCCATGTTGATCAGGGTAAAGAGTTCTACAACAAAGAATTCAAAGATCTGATGAAGCAGCACAACATTCATCTTTACTCAACATTCAGCAATCTCAAAGCATCTATCTGTGAACGTTTTAATAGAACACTTAAAAATAAAATGTGGCGAGAATTCACAGCTCGTGGTAGCTATAAGTGGACTGATATACTGGAGGACTTGGTGAATACTTACAATAACACCAAACACAGTACCATCAAAATGAAACCTGCTGATGTTACCACTACTCAGGAGAAACAATTGCTTGAAAAAATTTATCAACAAATTCAGCCAACATCAAAGAAGAAAAATAAATTTAAAGTTGGTGACAAGGTTCGAATCAGCAAGTATAAAAATGTGTTCGAGAAAGGATACACACCAAACTGGACAACTGAGATTTTTACCATCACGACAGTACAAAGCACAAGTCCCACAACATACAAACTTGTCGACTACCAGGATCAACCAATACAAGGTGGATTCTACGAAGAAGAACTCAGCAAAGTCAAATATCCAGATGTATACTTAGTTGAAAAAATTATTAAAAAGCGTGGAAATAAATACTATGTAAAATGGTTAGGTTTTGATACTAAACATAATAGTTGGATTAATAAAAACTGATATATAATAAATATTTATTAACAAAAAAACTTAAATCTATTTATTTACAACCTTAAATCTATTTATTTACAACCTTAAGTCTAATTATTTACAATTATTTACATTTTTCTCCTTTTCTTGCTAGGTCTGCAAACATTTACTTGGGTATAACCCCAAGGAACTGTATCAGTGCTATCGCTAAGCAGTTGACGTTTGTTATCATCCCAACTCAGTGCTAACTTCTGTTTTTGTAGAACTGTTTTAACTTCATGTCTTACACTTCTAATAAGGTATTGATCTCTTTTCACTTCAACATGGTCAAACAGACATCGCTTGAAGTCATCAAACGTGATACTTCGTAAGGTTGAACCTTTAACACCCTTTGCTCGTTTTTTAGCCTCATTTTTGTTATGCAGCTTAAAAGCATATAACTTAGCTCTGAGGCCTACAAACTCAGACATAATTTCACCATTATTTTCATCCTTCATAAGCCCCAAAACCTTTTTATTTGCTTGAGGCATTCCAAATTTATTATCAAGAGGGTAGTCAGAGGTGTCAAACTTATGAATATCACGTTTGATATCTTCGTAGATGTTTGGCACGTTGAAATGATAGATAAGACTATCCGTATCGGTATATAAAAGCTTAGATGTATGTTCATAATTTTTCTTAACATAACTATAGTGAAAATCATAAACGAATATTTTTGATAAGTCTAAGATTGAAAATCCTACATAAATCGGTTTATTTAATAATACTTTAACTTTCTTCAGCTCAATAATAACCATATCTTTATCAAATACAGTTAGACTATGGAAATTCGGTTTACAAATAAGGTCTTTTGCACCATATCTTCCACACCATCTAGTAATAAGATGGACTTCTTTTTGCTTTCTAACGTTCTCCATAGTCTTACCAAAGATTGCATTATTCATGAGCTTGAAGAAGTTTTTCTCATGATCGTTCTTGGCAGTTTTTCTACACTCTGTATTCTTATCTATGTACGGTTTGAGCCATGTCGACTGCTCAAATCGCAACACTCGATGTATTTTTGTTAAAACTAGACCTAAATCTAAACATTGTTTTAAATTTTTATAGTGAATGACATAATTTTTTTTATCAAAGAGTGTAGTAGCTAATTTTGTTTGCTTACTGTCTGGTGGAACAAAATGTTCAGGACATAGAGGTAAGTCTTTGTGCAAGTCATGAAGTTCCGGTGGATATTGTAAATCTACTTCTAAAATGTAGCCTATGCTTTCATCATCATCGTTAAAGAAACTATTTACATCAGTTATGTTTTCTACCCACTCAAACGAGCCTTTTGGTAACGGTTGACTCATAGCTGCACCGTATAAATTATTTACATCGTAATACATAATATAAGATTCCTCTTTGCTTGGATCAAAGTATTCTGCCATATAGCGATTGTTTGCCGCTGCATATCGGTTTGCACACATTGAAACTCCACCCCGAATGGCTTTCTCAACAAAGAGTAATATTTCGGGATCAGTTAAAAGCTCTAATTCCACACCAGTATACTTTAGCATCGCATCTTGAGATAGACCAGGAGCTGTATAATAGTGTAATGTATCAAGAGAGTATGTCTCGAAGCAGCTCTTTCTAAAGTTTTCAAAAACGTCAGCTAGGAGAAGTACATCTGTTTTTAAATATAAATCAGAGTACTCTCCCAGTGTTTTAATATTAAATTTAGTCCAAACAACTTGAGCAAAAAAATAGTCTTCATCGGAAACATTTTCATTTGATAATTTTGAAAAAAATGCACTTTGATCAGGTAACTGCTTTTGTTCTAGTTTTTCAATGCAGTCAATGTATTCATATGGAAAAACTCCTTTACGAGTTACTAGTTTAATCTGTTCCGGATCAGGGTAGTGTGAACGCGTTATTCGTTTGTTATCATCATCGAGATAAGAGGCTAATTTTTGCAGGCTAGAAGCCATAAATCGGAAAGAATCTATGAAACGAAGAGATATGGAAGTATTTTTAACGGTTTTTGTAAATGATATGTAATGCTCTTTGTTAACAGGAAGTAGATGAATTGAACCCTCGAAAACTGTAGCTAATGATCTAATTAAAAAATGTGAATCGTAACCGGATAGATTATGAAAAACAACGGGAATTGTTTGAGGCTTTTTGTAATTTACATTACATGAAATATGTGCAGGTCCGCGATAGCTCCCGGTAAAGTGACAGTGATCATAACACTTGTCTCTCGGTGATACGATCGGTTTTTCACAAATATGACAAGCAGTTGTCTGATTATGCATTTCTTGTTGTTGTTCTGTAAGTGGCTTCATTTTAATTCTATTCTGTGAGTAAGTATTGAATTCATAAGCTAAACTTTCGAGTTTCCGAACAAACCACTCTATACAAGTTGGTGAACGATTAATTTCAAATTTAGATAAGTTATCATCGTAGCTACAATGCTGATAAATAGCTACACTGTGCGGAATGTGCTCTTGTGTACCATCATCTCCCAGGGGTGCAAGTATACATTCCAAGTCAGCGTAAACAACAAATGGTACCGTATCTTTCTTTTGAAAATTTTTAAATTTAAGTATTTTATGCTCTACGTCAGGTAAAATCATACGAGCTTTATTTATTTTAAAGCAATCATTTTTATGATTTTCATATGATTTTTCTAATTTGAAATGGTTAAGACAACGATTGCAAAAAAAATGTTTATTATGAGATTCTGTTACTTGAGATCGGACTAGTCGGGAGAGATCTAAGATCAAAGCAAAGTGGAATCTTGGTTTTATTTTTTCTAAATCATCATCAAATTGACTGATGTACTGTTCAATCATTAAAAGATGAATAGTTTCTTTTTCAGACTTGAATTTACTTAAGTATATTGGAATAATAATGCTTTTCTTATTCTTAGACTTGGTAAATTCCGACTCAATCCCATAAACATTGATTGATAAATTGTTTAGTTTTTCAAAATAAGGAATATTTTTAAGTGACATTGGAAATTCAATACCTGTGTATGATAGCACTGAGCTAGGATGAGGATACGAAGATGTTCTAAAATCAAGCTTTTCTGGACCGCAAGGATGAAGAGCAGCAACAATACTCCAGAGGAAGCAATAGTTGTCATGATTCTGGATGTTGAGTACAGCTTCCTGCTTCTTCAGAATATCACTTGGAAGTTTCACATAAGTTGAATCCCCAGCTTGGAGTGGTGTATACTTTGACATCGTGATGACAAGATTCTTTATTTCAGACAAAGCCCATCCAGAACCTGCTGTCTCAAGCTCTTCAAGTTTTCGTAACATTTTATTGTGTACGTGTTCTGTATACCAGTCTTGAAGAGATGTAGATGGTAGAATTTCTCGACTTTTAGCATTGATGGACTTGGTTTCTTCAATAGTTGAGTCAGCTTTTGAATTTTTAAATTTACAGAACCATTCAACGCTGACTTTGAGACCTGCTACTTCTCTTAACATGGTATCAACCTTCTCTATAACTATTTCACGTGAATCTTCGAAGAATGCACTAGGGTCTGTATGAGTTAGATTGATGATGCAACCCGTCTTGATGTTGTTTGTAAACGCATTCTCTAAATCTTGCCATTTAATGCGGCGAGGATTCACGTCTCCACCAACAACTACACCACCCAACCGCAGAAACTGAACAGCATACCAGTTCAAATTTGCTATGTGAGCTTGAATACTTCGCCGTACCTGCACAGTAGTCTGTGGATCCTGGAGGATTGTATTGAAGTACTCAATCGTATCAAGGCAAGTTTGGTTACACCGTTGACATTGACTTATATTTACAGACCCTTGCTGTAAGTCATCAAATGACTCAGCAATGGTGTTAACCAAGTTTTGAAGAGCTGTGATGAGAGACATGTTGAAATTCCTTGTAGCACTTGGTTGTTCTTCTTCTCGTCTTGTAGCACTTGGTTTTGGCACTTGATTTTAACACTTGATTTTAGCACTGGATTGTCGTAGAGGTTCTTCACTGTGTAAGATTCACTTCAATAATGAGAATGCTCGTGGAGATACCCGCTTTTATATGCTCCTGATTGCATCAGTCTTTCTTCAACCCCTACAGCAAATCATCTTTTGCATCATCTTTTTTTTTCTGATGTAACGTCATAACCTCCATCTTGAACTAGCCATCGCATCTGTTTGTTGCATCATCTATTCCAACGCTGCGTCATAACCTCCATCTTGAACTAGCCATCGCGTCTGTTTGTTGCATCATCTATTCCAACGCTGCGTCATAACCTCCATCTTGAACTAGCCATCGCGTCTGTTTGTTGCATCATCTTGAGACTATCAATCGCATCCATTTGTTTCATCATCTTTTCCGACGTCATTACCCTTCCTCACCACGAATCGTTTCTCCCACTACTCAGCAACAACCAATCGCGGCTTTCCATGGGTGATATTATATAAACACAACAAGTTCCCAGCAGTTCAGTTTTAATTCTCTCTTCAACTTGGAAGCATCATGGAAATTATAATCGACGTTCAAGGATTTCAAGGTGAAACTTTCATAGTCAAGGAGCTGGCTTGGATCACCATTGACCAGGAGATTGAAGAAATATCAAGTACAGTCTTCAAGCCGCCTTACCCTTGGGACTTTCAATCGTTACACTACCAGCGACTTAACAAAGCCATCATCACCGCATGCCATAAAATTTCCTGGACTCAAGGACAAGTTGCTTACGACAAGCTCAACCAAGTCATAGACAAAGCAGTTGCTGACAAGCAGTTCATATACGTCAAAGGCTTGGAGAAAAAATGCTGGCTACAAAATATTATCAAGTCAAAGACAATTATTGACTTGGAGAACCTGGACTGTCCACCGCTGAAAAAACGTCAAGATTACACTTGTCATTTCTGCAACAACCATGAACAGCATGCTAACTTGTACTGGTGTGCTTTAGAGAATGTTAAAAAATTAAAAGAATGGTTTGTCATAAATTACGGTGGGAATCCATCGCTTGAACAATCACTGAAATTATTCTGCAAGTTGAATATTGAAGACATGAGACCTCAAGATATTGCCATACTGCCTAAATATTTCATAATTGGATGTGCTGCTGATAAAATTAACAGTATCTGGTCAAAACTACCTGCAGCTCTTCAGGAGGACAAGGACATCATGAAGTATAGACGCTGTAATGAACATTATAGGACAACAGCTATTGAATATGATGATTTTTTTAATGATATTCCATTAGTAATTAATTGTAAATTCTGTAGAAAACAATAAAGCATAATTATCTTCAGCAATTAAATAAATTTAAATATTTTTTTAAAAAATAAATTAGTAATAGTTTAAAATTTTTTTTAAATAAATAAATAATAGTTTTAAGATAAATTAATAATAATTAAAATATTTTTAAAGTAACTTAAATATTTTTTTTTTAACTTAAATTAATAATAGTTTAAATATTTTTAAAATAAATCAGTGATAGTTTAAATATTTTTTTTTAATAAATTAGTGAGAGTTTAAATATTTTTTTAATAAATTAGTGAGAGTTTAAATATTTTTTTAACTTAAATATTTTTAAAATAACTCAAATATTTTTTTAACTTAAATATTTTTAAATTAGTGATAGTTTAAACTTAAATATTTTTTTAAATTAATATTTTTTTTCATACTCATAATTATTAATTTATAAAAATTTCTCAAATATCAATTTTTTTCTAATAAATTAATATTTTAAATGTAGAGTTGATGATAATAGTACAATTCTATTTACCATCATAGTTCGGTTACCATAAAAGTCCAGTTACCATCATGGACAAATTCTAAGGTTTCTTAGAGGGGCGTCTCGAATCGACTTATTTATTGATGTGTGATTTTTTTATCGCGGGAGATTTTAAAATAGTTTATTTATTGGAAAAATTTAATAATTAAAATTTAAAAAATTTTTATGAATAAACTATAATTATAAAAGTATTTAAAAAAAATTTTTTTTTTTTCAATGAAAAAAATAAAAGTAATTTTGAAAATATAATTTTTTCCTGGTTCTTCAACATTGAATTGATAATAAAATTATTTAATAACAATGTCATCTCATTTTGATGATTGATATTTATTATTTAATAAATTATTAATAATTCTTGATAAAAATTTCAAAAATTTATTACCAACTATAGCATTTTTTAGTCAGCACAACCAGGTTCAGACCGGTGTCAGCACGCCGGCTTGTTTACAAGAGCCGCCATATTGCTGTCTCCGTTACTACCATGAGACTTTTGTATTTTCCTTCTCTGCCTGAAGCTTGGGTGTCGCGGGTGTCACAAGTTTTCGGAAATTTTATAGTTTTTAGAAGAACTATAACAACAACTGCGACATTTGCATGTCTCAACACGTTAGCAAGTAGACGCTATTGAAAAAAACAAGATTAACGTGAAAAAAAAATTAGTAAGTATTGTTGATAACAATAATTATTAACATAAGTATTGTTGATAACAATAATTAAAATTAAAAATAAACATTAAATGAATATTAGTGGTAACCAAAAAAGTGACATGATTAAAAAATATTTCATAATAAATTAAATAGCTGATGCAAAATTAAATTAAAAGACTTGATGAAATATTAAATAATAGTGTTAAAAGTAAGATGATAAATTAAATAGCTAATGCAAAATTAAAATACTTGATGAAATATTAAATAAAAGTGATGTTATAAATAATAGTAGTAAATAGTGTTAAAAATAAGATGAAAAAAAAAAAAAATAAATAAATAAATAAAATAATAAGGCATGATGTTATGAAAAAAAAAATTCAATTGAGAGCATTAAAGGAAAAAAATGTGTGCATTAATCATTAAAAAAAATTTTTTGAATTTACACATAAATGTATGATGTATAGTTGATCAACGTAAAAAAAAAATGTATATTCTCAATTGAATAAAATTTATTTGCCAATTAATAAATTATATAAAATAATTAACTAATAAAGTAAAAGATGTTTATAATTTATGGTGACACTTTTGTAAATAAAAAAATTTTTTTTTTTTCGGACAAAAATGACTGATTGGAATTTAATCGACCGGTGCATACATTACGATGTAGTGATACCACATTCATGGTTGATATTTTTCGGGGGTGATATCTCTAACTTATTAAATGAACTACGTTTACAATTAGTTGAGATAACTTTTGATGGGATAGGTATGACTGATATGCCAATGCTTAGAATTAACAATCAACGTGCTATGCTGCAGTTACGTCATGACATCGAAGTCTGGTGGTTCCGATTGTTCAACGTGAATAGTATCACTGACCGATGTTATTATATTCTTGAAAATTATGGTGTTAATTTATTTCTGAATATGAGTGATTATGATCAAGAATATAATTTTAACATCCAATCAACACCACCGGCACCTTCACCACCATCTTTACCAACGCCTTCAGCAATGTCAAGCCAAGTAGCGACCGTTAGCAGATATTATTCATGGGCTCAAGAGCCCATGGGTATGAGACGATTAATTGGACAGTGGATGTTGCAAAGCTCCATTGAAATGATACAACAACAACAACAAGAATATGAAGAAGAAGAGCAACAACGAGGACAACGACGACGACGACGACGACGACGACGACGAGAACGACAAGATCGACGAAGCTCATCGAGTGAGAGAGATGATCAACGCAGAGTTGATTTTGGAAATTTGCAAATTTCACCACCCCGCAGAAGACGAAGAATGAATTCACCGCCACCACCACCACCACCATCCTCACCACAACCGGGGACATCAAGCGGGCTGCCAGGGCTCAACCTGCTACGGCTACGCTTTCATGATGAACAATCTTCATCATCATCATCATCAGAAGACCTTGATATCTATCAGAATGTTAATGATGGATATATTGCTGACGATGAAGATAATTCTCCAGATTTTTTTTCACGAGAAGGTGAATCAGAAGAAAAATCTGGAGATATGATGTGTCAACATTGTGAATCATCGCATGCCAGAGATGAACCATCTGAGTTTAGAAGAGCACCATCGCCGTCAGCATCAACAACAGCATCAACCTTAATATTATCAACAGTGTCAACAGAAAATAATTTTACCGAGATTTTCCGCTATCCAACTCAAAATGTAGATTATAATTCTAATGGTGAGCATTCATCATCATCGAATGATGATGATGAAATACTTATAGATTTATAATCTACATTTTGAGTTATGAAGTAGAGAAATCTCAGTATAATTATTTTCATGCTATTTAATTACTTTTATTTATGTTTTTTCATTATGAATCTTTATATTAAAATTCTTTTTCATTGTAAACATTTATAATAAAAATTTTTTCTTGGAAAAAATGTTTTTGTAAATATTAGCTTAATAAATGTAGAATAATAAAAAAAAAAATGCAAGATAAAAAATAATGGTAAGTAAAAAATGAAAATAATTATAATAAAATCAAGCAATAATAAGAAAAAAATTATAGTATTAATAATAAAAATTATAGTAAGTAAGTAAAAGTTTATTATATACGCATACAATAAATTATATTATTTAAAAACTAAAATCAAGCAATAAGAAAAAAAATATAATGAAAAATAAATAGTAAGTAAAAGTTTATTATTTAAAAATTATAGTATTAATAATAAAAATTATAGTAAGTAAGTAAAAGTTTATTATATACGCATATAATAAATTCTATTATTTAAAAATTAAAATCAAGCAATAATTGATAGTAGGCAGTAAAATTGAAGCAGGTTAATATTGATAAATAAGACTTTTTTATTGTCAATTTTTTTTGTATATACATTTAGGATTTAATTACAAATTTAAATATATTATCCTTTTTTTGAACGTAGTGTAGATAAAGTAGATTATTGTTGGTAGATTCCACTAATTTTGTGAAGATATCAGCATTAGCATTCAAAAATTTCACAGTTTTAGTGGGAAGAAAAATTTGAAATTCTGTATCAATTGTGGCGACATATTTCAAGCCAAACTTGGTGGAGACCGTTTTCAATTGACTAATCTTGTAGATTTCACCCTCTTCCAGCTCGTAGATCTTCTTGGTGGGAAGATATCCTGGTGTAAGATTAATTTTGTTGAGCTCAACTAATTCCATTTTTTCAAGTTAAATATGGTTCTCTCAATATTTAAATCACGAAATTTTTCACTAGCGGACTTGAAGTGCGCAGGCTGACGAATTAAAATTGAATGATGATCTCGCGATTGCGAGTCGATTTTATATCGTTAATCCCCCACCACCATAAAAGATGAATAAAGTAGGAGTAAAATGGACATAAAGGATTTCATCAGCCATTGCGTCAGAAAATGACGTCATTAACAAGTTAGGACTTGTTTACAGAAAAAAAAAGCTGACGAAATCGTGAGATGAAATGGCTGATGAAATCGCTGGGGCTAAAAGGGTGACGTAATCGCGGGATAAAATGGCTAACGAAATCGCGGGATAAAAAGGTTGTAGTCAAAATGGTGACTACGAGATGGCGGGGCAAGGGGTGACGCAGTCGCGGGAAAATGGCGGAAATTCAAAAATCGGCTACCAGATGGCTGATTAAAAAGGGGCGGGAAATAAAAATTCAAATTATCGGCTACCAGATGGCGGATCAAAAAGGTTGATAAAAAAGGGCTGAAAATATGGTCAAATGATAAAAAAGGGTTGAAAATATGGTCGGTAATTTAGCATGGACACGAACCACTCAGGTGGTAACTGCTCTGTTTTACCGACGGAGCTAGCCCCCCCCCCCCCTTGTCCCTCTACTAAGCTGATGACATGAACTTTGGAGGTGAGGAAGCTGACGACATGAATCCTGGAGACGAACCTGTTGCTCGCCAGCCCGTGGCTTTAAACCATTCAAGAGCTCGGCGATTAATCAACAAAATCAGTAAGTTTGTTAAAAATAAATGCATTTCTCAATTTTTACAACGAAAATTTCTACAATTAGCAAATTGTTACTTTTTATTTTGTAGATCGCGATAGCTCGAGTTCAACTGCGCACGGATTGATTTGCACAATTTGTTTTAATGAAGCACTAAGCTACATCATCAAACCGTGCCATCATGCATCCATTGGAAAGCAGTGTGCTCTACAGCTATTAAAGAATTTCGTCGAAAAAAGAGAAGCTTTTCTTTTATGCCCATATTGTCGTGCTCGCGTCACTATTATCGATATTTTATATTTTACCTTATAATTCTTACCTTATAATTATTTTTATATTAAAGCAGTTTGCATGTAAACTTTTATAAAACTACTTTTTCTATATAACGTTGTAATCATACAAATTTAATCATAATCGTACAATTAAAATAATTAACATATGACACAGTACTTTTTTAAAATTATGTTTTTGTCAATTACAATTAAAATATATGTACAACATTAACAGAAAAATAAAATTTTACTTTCTTCATTTTAAATGATTTCTCACTTTTAATAAGTTATTTTGATCCATTCAATTTATTTAATAAGCTTCATAGAATATTGCTTTTGCATTTCGATTCACTTATAAATTTAATAGTATATTACACTACAAGGGCAGAAAGTTTGAGATTCCTGCACTGCGCGCCATATGCCCGAGGCGAAGCCGAGGGCATCATGGCACGCAGTTCAGGGCTCTCAAATTTCTGCCCATGTAGTGTATACTAGTTTTCTTACTATGCGGTCGAAAGTACGTTAAAAATTGCGTTGAAAAAAATTGATGCCTGCCCCCGACATTTGCGGCACGAGCGAAGCGAGTGCTGCTGGTCGGGGAGGCAGGCATCAAATACACCTGTCAATAAAGATATTAATATATAATCTATCATATTACTACTTTCTTTTAAGAAAAGATCGTAATTTAACTGAATAAATTTAACGTTATAAATATATCATAAATTAACTCTGATTTTAAGAATAAAATAAAAACAAAAAAATGAAATAATAATCGTAAAATGCATACCTAGAAAAAAAAATTAAGAAAAAAATCTGTTTGTATATTTTTTCAAATAATTATTTGTTCACCAATAGATTTATTTATTTGAGAATATCGATCAGAATAAAGAATATTCCTCGTTTTTTTTTTTTTGTAATTTAAATATTTAACAAGTCTTATTTCATTAAAATAAAATGACAAAGTTAGCAGTACCTTAATCATTTCTTAATTTTTTTTATCAAATAAATAGAAAAAAAATGGTTTTTAAAAAATTGCATTTTTAATTTTCTAAAATTTCTACATGTCAATTTTTTTTCTAATTTTTTTTGCACTAATTTATTTTTTTTTAAATTCTAAAATTTATTAAATATCTGCTACTTTAATTTTCATTAAAATAAATATTCAGTTTCTGTAATTACCTCAGTTTCAACCTCAAATCATTGACACATAACAAGACAGATACATCCATAACAATCACAAGTAAGGTTAGGCTTGTGCGACTCGACCACGGCATAAATGTCAGGCTTTCTATAGTGAAATCGCAACAGAAACCCCGTACTTTCGACCACCGTAGTAAGAAAAAAAGTTTTCTGCTTGACATCATCTCTACTGTATAGTAACGAGTGTATCGTTACGGGTACAATCCGTACATCAACTACGAGTAGCAGTCTGGATAGTGACCGTCACGATCCATTTGGTCGCCATTCATGATTATACTATTGCTACCGTTTGTATACAGTTTTCCTAACTTCACTATCCTCTAGATAGCAACGTGTGCATCGTGACAGTAGCAATATCGTACACAGTAAAAAATATTGTGTATTTGTGTCGAAAACGGTTTGTGTTAAAAATTGTAGTGTGTTAAAATAACACAAAGCTTGTGTCATTTTTTTTGTAACATAAAAAATGTGTTATATACTCTTTATTAACATATTTTGTATGTTACTTGGGAATGAACACAAAGTTTGTGTCAAATTCTCCATTAATATAACATCACTTCTTCACTTTACGCAGCAAACATTTTCAC